CACCCCCAGGCTTTACAGCTCACAGGGACTCTGCAGGCGTAGGGAGCACTGGCCCCTTTGGTTTCTGAGAGTGTAAGTCTTTATGGGAGCAAACAGTCTCATTGTCCAGAAGCTAACTAATAGCAGTGAGCTTGGCTGGGTTTGGGAATAGGCTCACGAGGCTCTATGTCTTTGCAGAAGCAGATTGCCTCCTCCCTTCTCTACAAGGGCAGCTGGGTTGGCATCAACACCCTTTCAGTTAGCAGCCAAGAACTTCACGACTTCGCCACCAGGGCTCCTTAACAGAGAACTTGAATAACAAATATTACACATGGGGAGGGATTAGGTTCTATAACCAAACATAAATGTGACAAATTCTAACAATGGAAAGGGAGTGTATAAAACTAAGAAATATCAAGGTTTGGGGCAGTAGGGAGAAGTCTAGGAGTCGGTCAGCACCAGCCCAACTCACTAGGACTCCCTCCAGAATGGATGGTCTACATCTCTGCTGTCTAACATGGTAGCCACTGGCCACGTGTGGCTGGCTACTGCGCATCTGAAGTGTGGCTAGTGCAGCCGAGCACTGCATTTGTGATGGGAATGAATCTCAACTCATCGAAGCTGAAACTGTCGCGTGTGGTTGGTGCTACCAGTGGACAGTGCAGATTATGTACTAAAACCATGGGACCTGAAAGAGCAGCAGCATTTGGGGGGGGTGGAGGTGGTGGATGTGGAGGTAATGGTGGAGGTGGAGGTGGTGGTGGAGGTGGTGATGGAAATGGAGGTGGTGATGGAGGTGGAGGTGGTGGAAGTGGAGGTGGCGATGGTGGTGATAGTAGGGTTATGTACTAACAACACAATGGCTCCAGTGATTAACTTGTTTGAAATGTAAGTTTTTTCCCTGCCTTAACCATACCAGGATATTTTTAAGTCTAATAGCTCTTGTAGTCAATTTTTTTTTTAAAGAGTCTGCCTTTCTTGTTTGCTAAGCTTGTGCGTATGCTCAGAGACACAGAGAGGGTTTGATGCAGAGAGAGAAAGACCACACGGACGCTTTCTGAAGCTCAGAGACATCACATGCAATCGTTGGCATCCCTTAAATGCAAGTCAAAAGAAAGACTTAGCGCATGAAAAACAGCATACAGAGTATGAACCTATTTTATGAAAACCAATGTCCAGCAGTTCTCTATGCATCCATACATCCACCTCTCAGGAGCCCCGTAGGCTCGTGCTGTTGGTGTGCTCTTGCTGGGGGGCATCCAGTCCGTCTGACTCAGAAGCACACACGGCCTGCTCCTGCCCTCCTCACACCCCTTGCTCTGTTTGAGCCCACTGTTGCAACCACCGTGCCAGGCATTAACTCAGTATCTGGAATGAGGAGCCTCTGATAAGAATCTCGTTGTTGTTCTGACCCGTAGCAACCCTGTGCACAACAGAATGAACCACTGCATGAACCTGTGCCATCCTCACACTTGCTCTTGTCGGAGCCCATGGTGGCAGCCACTGTGCCAATCCATCTCATCGAGGTTCTGCCTCTTTTATACTGCCCCTCGACCTTACCAGGGAGTATGTCCTTCTCCAGAACTGGTCGCTCCTGACAACATGGATGGATGTAAGACAAAGCCTTGCTGTTTGTCTCTAACAAGCACGCTGGCTGTATTTCTTCCAAGACACATCAGTTCGCCCTGTGAAGAGTCCATGGTACATTCAGTAATTCTCTTCTCCAACACTATTCAAAGGCTTCAACTTTTCTTCGGTCTTCTTATTCAATGTCTAATTTTCTCATGCATAGGAGGCCACGGAAAATATCATCGCTTGGGTCAGGCACACCTTAGTCCTCAAAGTGACATCCTTTTCAAATACTCTAAAAAGTTCTTGGAGAGCAGATTTATTCTAGTGCAATATATCTTTTGGTCTCTAGACTGCTACTTCCATGATCATTGATTGTAGATCCAATAAGACAAAATCCTTGACAGCTTCAATCTTTTCTCCATTTATCGTTATGATACCTATTGTGAGGATTTGGGTCTTCTTTATATTGAGTTGTAATCCATCCTGAAGGCTGAAATCCTTGATCTTCCTCAGCAAGTGCTTCATTTCCTCCTCACTTTCAGCAAGCACGGCTGTGTCATCTGCACATCGCAGGTTTTAATAAGCCTTCCTGCCATCCTGATGCCACACTCTTCTTCATACAATCCAGCTTCTCTGATGATCTGCTCAGCAGACAGACTGAACAAGTATGGTGACAAGATACAAACCCAATGCACACCTTTCCTGATTTTAAACCAGGCTGTGTTCCATTGTTCCTGTTTACACAACTGCCTCTTGATCCATGTACAAGTTACCCATGAGCCCAATGAAGTGTTCTGGAATTCTCACTCTGCTCAGGGTTATCGATACTTTGTTATGGTCCACACAGTTGAATGCCTTGGCAGAGTCAATAAAACACTGGTGAACATCTTTCTAGCATCCTCCTTTGCTGATCCGACATCAGCAATGATATCCCTTGTTCCATGTCCTCTTCTGAATCCGGCCTGAACTTTTAGCAGTTCCCTGTCAATGTCCTGCTGAAATCATGGTTAGATGTTCTTCAGAAAA